TTTCAATAAAAAATGTTTTTGAAATTTAAGATATAATTTCGATTTGCGCTGCGGGCAGGGGCGGAGACAGGGGGGTGCGAGCAGGGGTCAGACACCCCCCATCGCCTCGCCCCCCCTATGATTTTTCGTCCAGGTATACTAGTTTCAGTAGTGTGTACATATACGTCTAACGCTAATGGGCCAACATAATAACTTTTCACCCAGGCCCAACGCAAGAAAGCGTATTTGAAGCCTTATCGCTAGTTGTACGCATCATAAAAAGGGGTTAGGTGCAGACGTGAGATCGGCTAGTCAGTTCCCTATCCTTCCTGTAATTTTGTTCGTGGGCATTGCGATTTCTAGGTCAGATGGCTCCATACGCCGTCGCCGGTCGCCTCTCGGCTCTTACTGCTTCCGTTGCTGTGGCGCAGGGCAGATGGCCCTCTACTTGAGCGGCGATTGAATCCAGGATAGTGTTCATGACAGTTTGTGTGATTCGCCGTCATCATGCATTCCCAAAATCAACTTCAAGGAACCAAGGAACGTCACCGGTAAATTATAATCTTTGTGAATTAGTACAATTTCTTCGAAGATAATGGTTTAATTTTAATTGCTCGGATAAGGTAGGATTATAGTTTAGGAATCTAATTTTACTCACTGTGAATGTTTCAATGAATGAAGGATGAAGAGAAATAATACAAGAAAAAGAGTTTCATTTTTCAAACACATAGCTTCTACCTCAAATATTACAGAAAATGCAAATCCAGCAACCCGTTGTAGATAATAATTCCAACCACAATCCAGTCGATATGCTACTGAAACAATGTAAGTATTTTACATATTACCAGATATATGTTGCCATACATTTCATATCAATTCTACTTTGAGACTACAATCTTATGTTGTGTCTCTCGAATGATTATTATCTTTCTCGCCCCCCTCATGTTTAAATCCTGGCTCCGCCCCTGGCTGCGGGTTGGTTCATTAAGCTTGGCGCTGCTGTTGAATATGTAATGACTGCTAGGTGAACTGGTAGAACCACGTCAGTTATAGCGTGAGGTCCTTGTTTCGATTTCCCACGACGGCAGAGCATTAAACCGTGCCTGTTTGCCGAAGCAAGCAGCGAACAGGTGCTCCCTAGATATACCTCCCGCGCCCTTGGCATGCTGCTACAGGTTTGGGCCTAGGGCTCCCTTCGGAGTAGGCTTTTGGCCCCTGTTTTCTTTATCTTAATAATCGTCGTCGATTTTCTATTGTTTTGACATGTAGAGAATATTTTTTTTACTGAAAATCAAAACAGTGAAAAACAACAACTAGTACTCTGGCAGTACTTCGAAAAATAGACACACTCTTACCTTTTGCAATCAAATTCAAATTCTCGAACGGGAGAATCACATTTTCTTTGGACATGGAGTTTCTTCTCCCGAGCATAAATGCACCCTCATGAGTAAAAAATATATTAAACAAGATATTTCTAAAAACATTGGCAACAATTGTTGCTGAATGTTATGCATACCTACAGATTTTCGTGAAGAAAAACCATTCCTAATATTGATGCTCCAAAAAAGATTATTTTTGAAAGCATTTTTTAAATACCTAGATATGTTATAAAAGGTCACCAGAAGTACAAAACACCTTAATTAAAATAAAAATTTACATCAAGGTCTTCGGACACCACCAGAATGAGCCGCTCACATCCTGTTGACGCCGCTCCCATAGTAGAGCCGACCTTACCTTGCCGATGACAGCCGGGAAGTCTTCATGCACGTGCCCCAAAGAATCAGCACCCTAGGGTTGTAGCGGTTGTTGAACGCTTGAGTTGATCCAAACCGTGTGCCATCAAATCTCGTTCTCACACACGCATGACGAAAAATGCTTACCTCGTCGCCCTAAGGAGTTCGCAGGAATTTACGTTGGAGCTCCATTGACTCTGTCCCGATGGGTGAATTCAGGGAGGATCAAAGTCCACAAAACCAACTCGAAGATGAAGCATTGGCTTCCATCCGAACGCCTCCCCCGCGAGTACAAAAATCACTAACCTAAACTAGGCAATCCGTGTATAGCATCCCATTTTTTAAAACCTTTTGGAGAGCTGATTTTGTTGTTTTTTTGGCCAAATTTTCATAAATGTGATTTCATCACGAAAGTTTACACACAAATAGTAAACTAGGCAATGTTTGTTGTACAAAATATTCAATTGTTGTTGTTGTTGTTGTTGTTGTTGTTGTTGTTGTTGTTGTTGTTGTTGTTCGTGACAGGAGGATTTGAGCTCGAGATTAAAAGAACACTTTGATTCGTTCTTCCAGATGCTTGGACCATGTTAATCCTGCTATACACATGCACGGCAGTTACATATTGACTTCTAATCGTCTGCTTGGATAAAGCTGGACATCGACAGGTACTATGGCATATGCATGTCGGCGCGGCAAAAGTTAGTTAACGTGCGCTGGCGACGATCGGCGGCGACTGACTACAACAAAGCTCAAGGAAAAAAGGCCTGGTATTGTTTAACGAGAACTCACAGGGCCTTGGCACTGAGTGGTTTCTTTTTTTTTCGAGAAAGTGGCACTGAGTAGCTGCCTGGTGATCGAAGGAAATCGTTGAAGTCGTACCGCGTGTGTGGTGTCCATGTTACTATAATTGTTTAAGGCAACGTTTTCGTGTAGGTTGTTGCAGCTCTAATCATCAGCTCTGTGTCCCGCAAAATAAAATAAAAAATCAGCTCTATGAGCTCTCTATGTGTACTTCTCGACGCTCCTGTGCGTTTGCTTAATGGAATTATAAGCTCCAGGTGAAGAAGAAGAAGAAAACTCACGGACCCGATTTCTGTACGCAAGCATCACTATCTTGTTACCCAAGGACCATCTTTGACGAGGAATGGATTCTTGGCGAGGAAGACAAGTCAAGTGGGACAAATCAAGTACGGAGTACCATGTTTGTGTTAACACGCGTTCACATGTCGTGGTACGTAGTATGCGACATGCTGCCGCTAGTACCGTAGGAGGACCTGCGGTTTCTCTAGAAGCTGGCTCAAAGAAAGAAAAGGAGGTTTCGCTAGTAGCACTAGGCCACTAGCACCCTGCACCCCCGTGCTGATATGCTGTCGGTCTCGACCTGCAGGACCACGCCAAACCACACGTTTCGCACGAGCTGGGGGCCAACCAACAATCCAGCTGCTGCGCGTCGGGCCTGAACCTGCATGCATGCATCACAGCTGACGCCACTCACCCCGCGGCGAAACGCCAGCGAGTGGCCAGCACCCCGACGTAACTCGGCGACCCGAGTCCATGGTCAAAGCGCAGCCCACGAACCTGCTATAAATCATCCGCCTACGCGACCCGAGTCTTTCACAACAGAAACACACATCTCCCAGTCTCTCTCAACGAACTCAAACAGCAGAGGCATCTCCCAGGTCGCTGATATCTTCTCCGCCACCGTACGTAGGGGCAAAGCTCCCGACGACATGGGTCTCCTTTGGATGGTGGCGGCGGCCGTGGCGGCGGTTCTGGCCTCGTGGGCGTTCAACGCGCTGGTGTACCTCGTGTGGCGGCCGCGTGCCATCACCCGGCAGCTCCGCGCGCAGGGCGTGGGTGGGCCGGCCTACAAGTTCTTCGCCGGCAACCTCGGCGAGATCAAGCGGCTCCTCGCCAGCACCGCCGGCGCCGTGCTCGACGTCGGCTCCCACGACTTCGTCCCCAGGGTGCAGCCGCACTTCCGCAAATGGATCCCCATCCACGGTACGAAGCCAAGCCTGTAAACTCCTCTCCTCTAGCAGATCTAGCTCGTGTTCGAGTTCTTACGCTGTTTCTTGCTTGCAGGGCGCACGTTCCTCTAATGGTTCGGAGCCAGGCCGACACTGTGCGTGGCCGACGTGAACGTGGTGAAGCAGGTGCTCTCCGACCGAGGCGGGCTGTACCCCAAGAACATCGGCAACCCGCACATCGCCCGGCTGCTCGGCAAGGGACTCGTGCTCACTGACGGCGACGACTGGAAGCGCCACTGCAAGGTCGTCCACCCTGCCTTCAACATGGACAAGCTCAAGGTACGTGACGTGTGTGTTTTGTTTTCTACTGTACTATATTCATTGCGCTGACAATTATATCCAGTTAATGCACCGTGCCATAAAAAGGAAACTAGTAATGTAGATTATTGTCTTTCCTAAACCAAAAAGACACGTTATTCACGAGATCAAGGGTATTATATTAGTTTACAGTTTTGTTAAAGCACATCTAGATGTGCCATAAGTATTGCACATCTAAGTCCTATGGCATTGATCTTACGTCGAGATTCGTGTGGATATTTTTTTTTTCTTTTTTTTTCTTTTTATGCTTGATTCACTCACTTAGATATGCAATAACTAGAGCACATCTAGATGTGCCCTAGACACACCCGTTAGTTTACCTTTTCCAAAACAAAAAATACGCTGAAATCGGTGCCTTTTCAAAAGCAAAATACTAGTACCTTATTGCCGTATATGTCCCTTGGATCTAAGAACATAGACGGCTAAAATTGCTTGGGACCATACTAATTTTTCTTCTTCTTATTTCTATGCTAGATGATGACGGTGACCATGTCCGACTGTGCTGGGTCAATGATGTCGGAGTGGAAGGCAAAGATGGACAAGGGCGGCAGCGTGGAGATTGATCTGGGCCACCAGTTTGAGGAGCTAACCGCGGATGTCATCTCACACGGCATTCGGTAGCAGCTACGAACAAGGGAAAAAAGGTCTTCCTCGCGCAGAGGGAGCTCCAGTTTCTTGCCTACTCCACCGTATTCAACATTCAAATCCCAGCATTCAGGTAAATGCATCTTGTTCTTCTTCTTGCACCATTATTGGTCTGAATCAACTCATAACCTACATTTTTACCAAACAGAAATTAATCTATGTGTGTTTGTGGAATTTATCAGGTACCTTCCAACTGAAAAGAACCTCAAGATATGGAAGCTTGACAAGGAGGTGAGGAGCATGCTCATGAACATCATCAAAACCCGCCTTGAGAACAAAGACACCATGGGACACCATGGGTTACGGCAACGATCTGCTCGGGCTCATGTTGGAGGCGTGTGCACCAGAGCATGGGCAAAATCCTATTTTGAGCATGGACGAGATCGTAGATGAGTGCAAGACCTTCTTCTTCGCAGGGCATGACACCAGCTCACACCTGCTCACATGGACCATGTTCTTGTTGAGCACGCACCCAGAGTGGCAGGAGAATCTCAGAGAGGAGGTGCTGAGAGAGTGTGGCAATGGGGCTCCCACCGGAGACATGCTCAACAAACTGCAGTTGGTCAACATGTTCTTGCTGGAAACTCTTAGGTTGTATGGCCCTGTAGCTGTCATTCAGAGAAAGGTTGGTTCAGATCTCGAGGTCGGTGGCATCAAAGTGCCTGAAGGCACAGTGCTCACAATCCCCATCGCAACAATACATCGTGACAAGGAGGTCTGGGGGGAGGACGCCAATGAATTCAAGCCTATGAGATTCGAGAATGGAGTGACACGAGCCGGAAAGCACCCCAATGCATTGTTGTCTTTCTCCAGTGGGCCTAGGTCTTGCATAGGCCAAAACTTTGCTATGATTGAGGCCAAAGCCGTGATCGCCATGATTCTTCAGAGGTTCTCATTCTCCCTATCCCCTAAGTACGTCCATGCCCCGATGGATGTCATCACGGTGCGACCCAAGTTTGGGCTTCCCATGGTCCTTAAGAGCCTAGAGATGTAGTGTTGTCTTGAGTACAACACAGGGTTTTTTATTGGTCTCGTTGCAAATGTAATTTTTTGGAAAGCTACTATGCTGGACTTTATTGAGAACTAGATAACACTTAGATCATTCACAAGTTTCTTTTGATAAAGTGGTTTTCTTTCGTATAAATTGTGGTCAAAGTTGAGAGGGTATGCCTAAGATGCATTTCGGTGTTTTACCTATGTGAGTTCTCTCCAATGTCTCCTCAAGATACTATCACAACATGGGTAGACAAGGAATTAGGTGATATGGACTTCGTATTTCCCCCCAGAAGTTAAGCCCGTGTTTATTTCTAGGACGAAGCCTAAGCATATAGGTTGTAAAACCATTGACCCACTTTACTTATGATTGAACTCCCAAGGAGAAATCCGCAAATAATTGCAAATTGTTATTGTAAACTCAATCATAGGTTTAACATCTAAGGTTGCCATACCACCGTATGATATAACTCAATACTCATGGGATTTGGTTCTATCACTCATGTATCCTCTCCATCATTTATCATAAAACATTGCAATCTCTATTTGTTCCCCCAATATACGCATACACTTGAACAAAAGACAAAAACTATAGCATAGAAATTAGCATACATATGTGCAACCAATCTTCGTACTATTTTGGCAATGTCGTAGAACAAATAACTACTCAAACGTAGATGTAAAGACGTAAAAAATTACGGGGAAACATTCATATGAAAAGACATCATGTTTTCCAAAGGATTGCATATGTTTTGTGATGGAGATGCCACAGATAGATGAGGAAGATGCGATGAAAGCAATGGGGATGATGGTGCTGATGTTGGTGCTCCTAAAAGTGTTTCGGCACCGCCGGGGAAAGTAGAGGTGTTTCCTCTTTGGTTTTTGTTGGCTATGGTGATGAAGAACAGGAGTCTCTCCGCAGATTGGAGCTGTCGGAATGTGGGCTCCGCGGAGCCAAAACAAGGTTCGAACTCTGGGGTGCGCACGAAGTACTTTGCTGGGCTATGGTTCGCTGCTTACTGCCACACGGCGATGCTCCATCATGCTCGAGCGAGCGGGAGAGGAAGGAACACTGTGATTTACGTAGGTTCGGGCCACCTTGCGGTGTAAAACCCTACTCCTGCTTTGTGGTGGATTGCCTCGCGAGGAGGATGAGTATGAACTAGTACAAGGGTGAGCTGCTTCATGAGGGCTCGGAGGGTGAACTCGACCCCTCTCTACGGGGGAGGATGGCTTATACTTATATTGGCCGGTTCTCTTTTCCCAAGGCTCTAGGCGGGAAGGGATACCACAACGGCCAATTTTAAAGAGGGACAATAGTACACCCTATCCTGACTAAAGGTGATCTTCGCCTGCAAAGCTTCTGGTCATGACGCGCAGGTGGGCTCGGTGACGGCCGCCATCCTGACGAGTCCGTAGTCTTGGTCTCGTTGCGCCGGAATGGCAACCTTTGGGGGATTCCTCGGGAACCCGCTTACGTCCTTGCCTCCTTAGCACCAAAGACGAAGCCCTCCTGGCTCCGCTCGTCACGGCTCACATCACCACACGCCTCCTGAGGTTGGATGGCGAGCCTAGAAGTATCCGCCCCGCGAGGGGCCTTGTGAGGCGGCCTCGGGAGACTGCCCTGCGGGAGGCCCTCGGGAGGCGTTGATGTAGTTCACCTTGCGAGGCGGGGGCCCTCGCGAGGGTCTTGCTCGAGAGGTCTTGGCGTTGGGCCGCACCGGGCCTTTGATGATGCCACGCGATGGTCCGCAGGCGGACGGGCCTGGGTACCCCCGATCCTAGAGCCCCGACAGGAGCTATCTTTTGGAAGAGACTATTTTGGATGCTGAAATATGACGCATCAACACTATTTCATTAATTGCCGGAGATGTATGATTCTGCAAAAATCTGAAAGTAGACAAAAATTGTGAGGGGCCCATGTGGCTCGGCCAAGTTGCTCGTAGGTCGTGCGGGACTCACATGACTCCCCTAACTGCACCATTTTTTGTGCCATCGTTATCCATGAAGTTTTGCGTCTGTTGTTTTTTCCCCATGATTTTATCACTTCGGGAAGGTTCATGTAATCACCAACATTGAACATATATATCCTCCCCTTGTTGATGGTTCGTGGATATGCTTCCGAAGTGATAGCTCCTGGCCTGTCATCTGGTTGGACCATCCAACATTGATGTGCCAGCGGCGGTATCTTATTGTTATGGCCTTTATTAATTGACATATCTCTTATAGGTTTTGTGGTACGAGTTTGGAGATGCTGTTGTAAGGCATGTCCTATGGAGAGGGTCTTGGATTTTTTTTCTTTATTTTGTGTAAGACCTTTATTTCGACATTAATTAATGTTATGTTACAATTGACTCAGAAGATTGGAGTCATTCTTCATCTCTGATAAAGAAAATCTTCTAAGACTCCCTCCATAAAGAAATATAAGAGTGTTTATATCAGTAAATAGCAATGAAAAAAATAGCGTGCTACAGCAAAATAGCGCCGACCTCAAAATATGCTATTAGCGTGTTATATCGCTCTATAGCGTGCTATTAGCGAGACATTGTACACCGGTATATTTAGCGAGACAGTTCTCAATACTCTATAGCGTGCTATTAGCGACGCTATAGCGCGCTATTTTTCAGTGGTAAATAGTGATCTAAAATGCTCTCATATTTGTTTACAGAGGGAGTGTTTATATACAAGTTTGTCAAGTTGAGCAAAATTTTAAAATATACAGTGGTTTAATTTTTGTCCAGACTCTGACTGGTGCAAGTTGGAGAACCTATAGCATGATCCCTACGGCGACATTCACTTTTTGTGTCTGGCTCAGATGATGATTCTTGATATTATGAGTGGTGACCGTCTAAACCCTACCCCCTAGCGGTAGTTTTATTTGTGTATACTTCATGTACTTGGTTTTTATCTGGTTTTCCTCAATTAATCGGAGAACTATCTTCTTTTATGAGATGACATAGCTTCTGTCCTTGCCTCGCGAAGCATTTTGTAGGAAAGGGCTTGCTATTTCTAAACTAAAATGGTTATTATCATGTTGATTATATTGAACAAAATGCTTATTGGATAAAGTGTCAATGATGCGATCGACTTTTAAAATAGTCGCTCTTTTGCCTTTTGCAATTGGATCCAAATTTTTGAACTGAAGAATCACTTATTTCATCTCTATGCATGGGCCATGTTAGTCCTGCTACACACGTGCACGGCGGCTATATGTTGACTTCTATCATCTGCTTCGATGAACTATACTTAGAGCATCTCCAGCCGTTGAGCCCCCCAGGAGGCATTTTTTCACCGCTTGGGGGGCTACCGGCGAAAAATTTAGCCCGGGGTGGAAAACTATCCACTCATTGCCCTCCCCACCCCGCAACGCACGTACCCTGCCACCACCACCACGCGAACTGCCCAAGTGGCCAGCGAAGCCGGACGGGGCGAGCAGGCAGGGAGCGGCCAGCACGGCGGCGAGCAGGCAGCGCGGTGAGGAAAGGAGGCAGGGAGTAGGCAGCACGGCGGCCAGCCAGCGTGCGGGAGGCCGGCCGGGCGAGGCGGGGAGCGGGCGGAGCCGGCACACGGGGCAGGTGGAGCCGGCCGCGCCAACTCGGCAGAGGGAGGAGCCGACGGGGGCGAGGAGGCGGGCGGGCGGCGAGCCGGTCAGCGGACGGGGCCGGCGCCGCTGCTGGAGTCGAGGACGAGCACTGCAGGGGCCTAGCCTTGCCTCCGTCTCAAGCGGCCGCCTGTATCGAGCCGCCACTTTGGGCTGCTGTATTGAGCCGCCATCGCGGGTGGGAACGGCAACGAGCGGCGCAGCCCGCGGCTGCTGGAGTCGAGGACGAGGCGGAGGCGCGGCCGTCGAGAACAGGACACCATGGACGAGCTCCCCGCCTCCCTGCTCCGACGCCCTTCCCGCGAGCTCTAGCGCCCGCCCGCCGTGACGCCCGCGCTCGCCTGTGCCCCAGCTCCGGCGCCCTACTCGCCGCGCCCGTCCCGTCCCGTGCGTGCCTGCTTGCCTCGGTGGATGGGGGATGGGGGACTGTGAGCACGTGGGTGGGCCTACAGAAAAGATAGGGAGAGAGAGAGAGAGAGAGGAGAGAGGGAGGTGGGACACTGAAAGTGGACCATTTGCATGCAAATAAGAGTGTATTCGTCCCCAGCTGCCTCCCGGGGGGCTGGGTTTCGCCTGGGCTCGCTGGCTGTAATTTTGCTTAAATCCGGCGAAAACTTAACTCTTGGGGTGACGAGTGGGAGGAATTTTACTCGCCGGCGGTGAAAAAGTGTCTGGGGGAGGCTTCTTGGGGGACTAGTGGAGATGCTCTTAGACTCCAGCAGCTACTCCAAGCTGCATCTTTTCAAAAGCAAAATGGCATATGCATGTCGGCGTGGCAAAAGTTAGTAAGCGTACACCGGCGACGATAAGCGGCAAGAGACTACAACACAACACAAGGAGAACAGGCAATTAACAAAGAAAATGATGAGGAAAATGGGCGGAACGTGTGCTAACTTGAACTAGTTGTGGATGAACCCAGCTTGGTATTTTAAATAGCCGTTGGCCGGTGACCCATGGAGTGGAGATCAAAGGGCCGTTGGCCGGATTTTATTAGAAAGAAGGATAGAGTACAACCAAGGGTACAACCAGGAGCAAACAGTTCAGGAGATCTAGAACTGTTTCTCTGAAGGGGTGACCAGCACTGAAAAGACTGATGAAAACAAGGAATAACATAGCCCGGCACTAGGCGCGCCCCATAATCTATTTAGCTCCCCAGGTCAGTGACACAACCAGCTGCTCTCCAGATGCCGATATCCTCTCTGATTAGGTCGAGGACTCGCTCCATCGTACACGCCGTGTGATCAAAAACGCGAGCGTTCTGCTCCTTCCAGACCCTCCAATGTATCAGTATGGCAATGTTGTCGAAATTGCAACGGGCAGGCTTGGGGATCGCCCTCCTTGTTATTAGCCACCAGTCCTCCGTGCTGCTAAAGCTCTCATCAGGAATGGCGAAAGAAACC